AACTAACAGAGGACGTTGTCTCAGGCCTACTTACCTCACAAACCGCACTGCGGGAAGCACAAGCCACAACCAGCTGGGCTCAAGAAAGTCTGGCGACGAAGATGGCGGATTTAGAAGACAAGAGCCGGCAAAATAATATTAAGCTGAGGGGAGTACCAGAAGAAGTGGCCACAAACGAGCTACCTCAATACCTAAGCCGACTGTTCTACCACCTGCTACCGCCCAAGAGAGAAAAAGCCATCATAATTAACACTGCTACCGCCTACCCAAATCGCCTAACATCCAAGATACACCATCAAGGGACCTGATCATCCAACTTGTCACCTCACTGGATAAACAGGCCATACTAGCAGCAGTTCGAGACTCCTCCACCTGCAAATTTGAAACACACAAGCTCACCTTTTACTCCGACTTGTCTCGAGCAACACTAATGTGGAAACGCAGTCTGTATAAAATCAATATTTAGTGACTGTCCCCTAGCCAGCAATCTTTTTTTATGCCACGGTAAAATTCAGTATCACTATGCAGTAAGAGGTAGAGGCAGAAAATCTGCCTGCACTGATTCAATAAGTAGTAACAACAGTGCAGCAAAATAACTGTGCAGCAAAAAACCTCCCACTTTAGTTCCTCCAGTCAGGGCCGGATTAACATAGGGGCTGATGGAGCTGCAGCTCCAGGCCCAGGCCCAGGCCCATTTTTTTTACCTTTTTGTTTTTCACACACTACTCTTAGGGATTTCATCTGGCTTTTATTTTATTGGCACAGCCAGTATTTGAGGCTGCCTGGCTGGTTCCAATATTGCAGTGATACTGGCAATACAAATGCTGGTATTTTTCTCAGTATAAACAAGAGATTACTATGCAATACCAGCACTGGCCAGTAGGGGTCACTGTATGTGGAGACAGGCAGGGATAGGAAGTTCCAGCATATCCCTCCCTGCCTATGCAGCTGTCTCTGCAGGGTGCAGCTACTCCCACCCTGCAGAGACAGCCTACAGCTCAGGGAAGTAAGGGATGGGGGGAAAGGCTGCAAGGAGACATACACTGAGACACTAAGGGACACTGGGAGACATTATGACACAGACACATGTCTCCCAGCCAGTGTCCCTGGTGTCTCAGTGCCCCCTAGTCTCCCAGTGCCCCCAGTCTGCCAGTGGCTCACTGTCCCCATGTCTCCTAGTGCCTCCATGCAGGGCTGCCATCAGAAATGTTGGGGCCCCTGACACAGCTCAAGGTCTGGGCCCCCCGGTGCCTGCACCCGAGTCTGCCCAAAGTGCTGCCCCCCCCCGAATCCGCCCACAGGGATGTAGTGTCTGCAGGGCCGGTGCAAGGATTTTTGCCACCCTAGGCAAAAGTAAAGTTTGCCGCCCCCCCATGTGACATCACAATGCCCCACCCATATGATCTGCCATCTGAACTAACACAAGTGCTGCAGTGCCGCCGTGTTTACATTAAAAGGCCTGCAGGGACAGGCTAGACACCAGAACCACTACATTAAGTTGCAGTGGTTCTGGGGACTATAGTGTCCCTTTAATGTGAGGTAAATTAGAGATCAGTGCCACGAATAATATACTAGATTGCCTACTTACAACCAGATGAGGATGATGATGGGCTCTAGCTGCCGTCTGGCTCCACTGGTCTGGTGTACAACAGGCTCTCTGGAGGCGGTTTGTAACTGTGGTCACAAAAATCACTGTTCTGGGAGAACGGGAAGCAGCTCCATTTTTTTGAGGGCCCTTTACACAGCTCAAGGTCTGGGTCCCAGGGTCCACCTTCATGTTCCACCAATGAGTTTGTTCACAGGGAGTGGAGTGTGTGTGTGGGGGATGTCCTGATGTGTGTAAGGAATGCATTGTGTGAATCTGTGTTTGTATGTGTAAGGGCTGCAAGATGAGTTTGTGTATGTATGGGATGCAGTGTGTGCGTCTGTAAGGGATGCATTGAGTGTGTGTAAGGGGTGCATTGTGTGTTGCTGTGTGTAAGGGATGCATTGCTTGTGTACGTGTGTCTGTGTGTAATGCATTGTGTGTTTTTCTGTGTGCAAGGGGTGCATTGTGTGTGATGGATGTCAATCTCTCCCCCTCCCCCTGTCAATTTCCTTCTTCTCCCCCTCCCTCTCCAATTTCCTTCTTCTCCTCCTCCCTCTCATTTCCTTCTCCCCCTCTACCTCTCATTTCCTTCTCCCCCCTCAAATTTCCTTCCTCTGTCCCTGCCTCAAATTTCCTTCCTCTCCCCCCGCCTCAAATTTCCTCTCCCACCTCCCCCTCAAATTTAATTTCTTCCCCCCCACATTTCATTCCCCCCCATTTCATTCCTTTCCCC